CCGTATGGTTGCTCTGCTGATGTGAACATGGGAACGCATCTGGCTTACCAGCTTTCGCCTGTTGTGCAAATCCAGCCAGCAGGCATATCTCAGGTGACTGCCAGGCTTTCTGAAGAGAAGCCTCGGCCCCTCACCTGTTTCTCACCTGGCGTTCCTCCTCTGCTCTCCCCTCCCCAGGGGTCACCCCCAGCAGCAGCAGCAGAACCAGGACACCCGCGTCCATCAACGCGACTCCTGCCAACATTAACCTTGCGGGTGAGTCTCTGCAGGGGCCCCGGGGCACAATCTCCTCTCCCAGGGCATCGGAACGTGGGCACTTCTAACGGCCTTCTGCCTCCCTACCTCCTGGCAGATCTGACCCGAGCCGTCAACGCCTTGCCACAGAACATGACTTCTCAGATGTTCAGCGCCCTCGCTGCCGTGACGGGCCAGGGGCAAAACGCCAATGCCACCCCTGCCCAGTGGACTTCCAGCCAATACGGCTACGGGGGCAGCGGTGGTGGGAGCAGCGCATACCACGTGAGTGGGCGGAAGGATTCTCGGCCTCACTTGAGTTCCCTGGCAATGCCAGCAGCCGGGCCCCACCTCACCCGGGAATTGCTGGGCAGCAGGGCGACTGCTGATTCCCAGAGGTCCTTTGCCCACAACCCTGCCCACGCGATGCCCCAAGCGTGTTGGCCTTGTTGATCATGGAGAGAAGAAAGAAAGCTACTCGTGGCTGCATCAGCTGCAGGCCAGACCTCGCCCTCACTGCTTCCCAGCCCCTCTCCATGGGCCCGGCTGCTTTGGGCAGAGGCGGTGGTAATGGCCAGAAGACCAGCAGGGCTGCTTTCCTGCTAGCGGGGGGCGAGGGCGGAGAAGGGACAGTTTTGCTGCCAGTGAAGGACCTTCTCCAAAGAAGAATGTGCTGAGCTGGCAGGCGGCAGAGCTCGCTAAGCCCCCGGCCGGCAGGAGAGCTTGGACAAGGCAATGTCCCTCCTGCCCAGCCAACAGACGCTGGAAATGCCTGAATGGGGGAGCATCCTTGCTCGCCAAAGCCCTGCCTTCAGCCCCCAGATGCAACCAGGGAAGTCTGTCCTGGGCCTGGAGAGAGGACTGGGCATTTGCCCCACACCCTTAGCCTGGTTACTAAACTCATTTGTTCGTAAGTGTGCCCGACAGATGGAACCCTAAACTAGCCCGAGAGTCACCCTTAGCCAGCCTTAGCAGCCTGTCCAAGAGCCCCTGTGAGGCCTTTGGCGAAGTGGACACCCCAGCAGCCATGTAACGCAACAGCAGCCCACCAGCTCTCGCCCCCCCAGAACTGGGGTGTGTCCTCTACCTGTAGAAAGGATTTTTCGCACGAGGAGCTCTGCGCCACTCATGACACGCATGTTTGTTGAATTACAGGTCTTCACAACGCCTGCCCAGCAGCCGGTGGCCACCCCTTTGCTGACCCCCAGCTACTCCTACACCACCCCAAGCCAGCCCATCACGACCCCCCAGTACCACCAGCTTCAGGCCAGCACCACCCCCCAGTCCACCCAGTCTCAGCCTTCCTCCAGCTCCGGGCAGAGGCAGCAGCCCAAGTAAGTGGGAGGCCCTGCGGGGGGAGGGGGAAGAAGCTCCAGGGGCTGGAGCTGAGCCTCAGCAGGACCCCGGCCAAGAAGGTGCTGTTCGCCACTCAGCTGCTCCCCCCCCCAGCAGCCTGTTGAAGCAGGCGCTGGCTGGGGGAAGGGGGGCAAGGGCGGCCTCTCCTCTGGGGCCTGGGAAGGGGATCCTGCATCACGTAACCTTTTAAGGAACAAAGATGTTTTTTCTCCAGCTGTGTTACTTGTAGGCATTTACAGATTCAGCTGATGGGATCAAGCTCTCTTTCAAGTTATTTTAGTCATTTAACCAGATGACTTTCGCTCCGTAGCGGAGAATCTTTGCCAGCTCCCTTGGATGATAGCCCCGTCTGCGGGCATGGCCTTCCCGCTGGGTCACAGCATCTGCCTGATTTGGGAGGAGGGAATTGCAGGGAAGGGCACTCCCGCAAGAAACCTCCTCAGGGCGTCGTCCAAGGGAGAAGCCAGGGCCAAGGGCCCAGCAGCCCTGGCTGCAGCCACGACAGGAAGGCTTCCAGGCCTTGGGTGAAAGTAGGCCGCAACCGCTGCTCAAGGGGGCCATGCCACTGGTCCTCATCGTCTTCCCTGTTTCTTGTGCAGGTCCACTTCCAGCTCCCACGCGCCCATTGACTGGGGCAAGATGGCCGAGCAGTGGCTGCAGGAGAAGGAGGCCGAGCGCCGGAAGCAGAAGCAGCGTCTGACCCCTCGCCCGTCACCCAGCCCCATGATCGAGAGCACGCCCATGTCCGTGGCTGGCGACGCCACCCCGCTCTTGGATGAGATGGACCGGTAGTCTTTCCCAGCCCGTCTCCAGCAGGAGGAGCAAAGCCGGCCCTCGTTCCTCAGCCACATCGCTCCATCTTTCTTCTTTCGTTTGCTTCCCCCTGAGTGGAAGAGGTGTGCCAGGGACGCCAGGCAGCGCCCTCCACAGGGAGCAGAGACTTGAGGCCGCACGTTTCTTGGCACGGAGGCTGCCTTGCTGCCGGCAGGGGGCATTCGGACTGGCCGAGGCCCTCGTGTGGCTGGGCCCTGCGCTCCCGTGTCCGATCTCGGCTGCCCGGCCTTTGCCCTCGAGCTCCCACGGCCACTTGGCCGCGTGGTTATGCAGAAACAAAACGGCAAGGCCAGGAGTGCCACAAGAAGACCTGACCGGCGGGGGGCTCAGAGGTCGGACACGTCCGTCTGATCTCCCTTTCTCCCTCTCCCTCTCGCGCGCTCTCGCTGTTCTGTGCTCAGTGGCTGTGTTGATGTTCGGGGGCTTTGCTGCGCGAGCCCTGAAGAGAATGTAGCCTCCACCATAAGCTGAGTTTCTCTGGGGCTCTCCAGGACAATATTTATTCAGTTGTATTACTAAGAAGAGAAGAAAAAAGCTTGAAAGCTGAACCCAGCCGATGGCAGCCTTTGTGAACGAGGTGGGAGAGTGTGTCACAGTGGCTCGAATGCCAGATAGCATCTTCCTCCCCCCCACCCTGTGTCCCCTTCCAACAACAAAGAGGGAATAAATGGTGTTTCTACTGATTCCTCCTCCTCCACGTTTTCTCTGCCCTGCCCGCGAAGGAGGAGGAGGCGAGATGCCAGGCTGGCGGGTCCCGGCTCCTCCAGTCAGCCGGTGGCCGTTGGGCGAAGGAGGGGCTGAACTGGGTTTGCTGGGTGTACAAGAACCAGCTTGTATTTTTTGGAACCAAAGGGGGCTTCGCGTTGGCAGAGAATTGTCTTTGCTTCTGCCCACGGTGGGCATGCTCTTTGCTTACTCCCTGGGAGACCAGCACCTGGGGCCGTTCAGCGGAGCAGCCCCTTGCCTTCGGGGAGTAGAGCCTGGCCTTTGGGCCAGGAGGGGGCAACTCTGGTTGCTGTCTTTGGAGGCTGCTTGGGCTTCTCAGTCTGTTCTCGGGGGGGTGCCACTCGGAGGGTGAGCCCCACGCTGCCTCCAAGGCGGGCCGCTTCCCTTCAGGCCTTCGCTTGGCTGCTGTGCGTGAAGCTGCCACAAAGTCTCCAGCCTGGCGTCTTTTTAGCCGGGCACCGGAGGCAAGGAGATGGGGCCAACTAGCGCGGCTCATTGCACCAGCATGTACAGGGGGCAGGGTCACGTTCCTCAGGGCCCCCAAGGCAGACCTAGCCAAGCAGATGCTGCTGCAGGAGGCAGACGGGGACCCCTGCTCTCCATGGCGCTTGCAGCAAAGGCAGGCCGCCCTTCAGAGGCTTCAGGGGTGTCTGGGACCCTCCCCTGCTCAGGCTCCTTGGGAACGACCAACTCCCCGCTGCAGACTGCCCTCCTTGGCCCCAGTGTGGATCAGCAGCAGGCGTGCTCATCTTGCTGTTGGCAAGCATGTTTTACCTTACTCGGCCCCACCCCTGGGGAGGAGCATGGCTGCAGCCACCCCCATGGATTGCCCGGGTCCTAGAGGGGAAGGGCCCAGAATGGCTCCCTGCTCTGCCAGCAGGCTGGTCTGTGTGCCCGGTGCCTTGATGGAGGGAGCTCAGCTGAGCCAGTTGGGTCCCCAAGTGTCCGTTGCCCAGCCTGTCCCTGGGGGAGGTAGGCCTGCAGGGAAAGGAGCAGGCACAGTGAGCCGCCATTTCTGGGGGCAGGCAGAGGAGGGCTGGTGGGGGAGCAAGAAGGCCACTTTTCTGAGGCTGGACCCCCAAGCAGGTCCTCCAGGGTCGAGAGCAGGGACCTTGTACGGTGTTGTTGACCCACCAGTGGGGCCAAAGGGCAGGCGGGAGAATTAAAGGCACTCCTGCCATCTATCTTTTGTTCAGTTTAAATGGACCAGAATAATGTCTTTTTTATGCCCCTTTCTGCTATTTTCTTGAAGGTGCGCCCCACCCCCCGCCCCCCACATACTTCTGAGAAGCTGAACACGGCTTTTGCCAGGGCAAACAAACCAGTCAGATCAGCCAGGCTGGGAAGAGCCAGCAGTGAACATCTCAGGACATTTATTTTAAAAATAGTGGAACCGGAGCTCCATTCGTGTGGCCTGCAGTGGGGAGAGAGGGGCCTGAGACGTGGAAAGGACAGCAAGTGGTGGGAGACGGGGGAGCGCGGAGTCCCTTGGGCAGCCTGGTCCCCCAGAGTTAGTTTTCTGGCAAGCGCTGGGGATTCAAAGCTGCTCCTTCCTGGGCAGGGCAGGGCAGGTGCTGACCCCCCCCCCCCCCCCGGGAAGCCTCCCTGCTCTGCAGCAGCTCCCAGGCCGTGAGGGGGTCTGTTGCAGACCAACTTGAGCCCTTGAGCGGGCAAAGCAGCCAGCCAGGAGGTTCCTGCCTGTTCCCAGCCGCCTGGCATTTGGCTGCCCAGATCTCCCCAGTTGCCAGTGGCCCGGAGGCTCACCTGGCCTCTTCTGGGGGGCTCACTGGCCCAGAGCCCTACCCAAGGCGAAGGGATTGTGCAAAACAGACTCACAAAGAGCACTTGTGCATGGTTTGCCCGCTTTTATTCCTTCTTGATTAAGGCCAGCTGAGCAGGCTGGGTCTTCTGTTGGCGCTTCAGCTGCAGGGTCCCTCTGCCCCAGAGAGAGCTGCTGCCATGGGGGAGAAGGTTTGGGTGAGTGGCGTTTTGCTCCTTCTTTACGCTGCCCCTGCTTCCTCCTCCAAGTCTCTGCTGGGCACAGAGGGCTGCTGATGACGTGGCAATGTTTCTTCTTCCTTCTGGAGCTTCTTCCTCCTCTTCCTCTTCCTCCTCCTCCTCCTCCTCCCAGACGGCCCAGGGGTGGTGGTCTGAGTGCTCTCAGGCGGAGCGCCAGCCCCCAGGTCAGTCCCTCCTCTGCCAGGCTCATCACTGAGGATGGCATTGAAAGAGTCCCCCTGCCCCACCTCAGGGTGCCTGCCTGGGGCCTGGGTGTCCCCCTTCCCCAGCTCCTGAACAGCCAGCTGCTTCAGGGAGACGGTGGCTCCCTCCCTGGTGGGGCGCAGGGGGGCTGCAGGAGCGCCTGCCTTGGCCCAGGCGCCTTTCTGCTTTTTCTTTGCCCCCTTCCCTTTCCGGCCTGGTCTTTCCTTCCCTTTGCCCTTCCGAGGCTTTGGGGCCACGCTGCTTGGCCTGGCCCGGGGGCCGAGGGTGGGCCGTCTCTTGGCAGTCTGGCCTGGCTTCCGGGGAGGAGGAGAAGCAGAGCTCCCCGCTGGTTGGAAGCGGCTCTTGGGGGAAACGGCGGTGGAAGCGGCCGGTGACGGCTGGCGGCGTGTTGCTGGCACGTCTATCAGTTCTCCTCCATAGTCGAACATCACCGGGTCCCGGAGGACAGCAACAGCCATGGTGCTGTGGTTCTTGCACCTTGGAAGGAAAGAGCAAGAGTGGGATGTGGGGTCCTTTGCAAGGGGACAGAAACTCTCGAGGGGGAGCCCAGTGCCAGGTGGCTTTAAAGCAACTGAGCGATCAGCTTGGAAGCCAAGAAGTTAACTCAAGGGTCCGATGTAAGCTCTTCTTGTAACACTCCTGTATAAGCTGCGCCCACTGAATGCCTTGCACAAAGTAGCCTGTGAGGGATCTCAGAAGAAGGCAAGGGGAAACCCACTAGGAACCTTGCCAAGGAAATTGTAGGGATGCAGGTCCCCAGAATGGGGCCCGATTCACAGGCTGCCTTTTCCTTTCTTTCAAGGTAGATGCCAGCTTGGCCAACGGCCAGCTACCCTTCGCCGCTCATCCCAAGCAGAGTGTCCCTTAAAAACAGGAAGGGATGCGATGGCTGCCAGACTTCCTCCAGGAGATAATCTCCCTGCTGGCTTGCACTCACCCCAAAGGACCCGCTCTGGGCGTGCCAGTGTCCTTGGTTCACTCATCCTGGCTCGGCCGCCCTATAGTCTTCCTTCCCCACCTCCCAACCCCTTTGCTGTCCTGCAGAGGAGAGCTTCGGTGTCGGTTTGGGTGAAGGGAGCTGTGGGGCGTGGGCAAAGCCCCGTCTGCGGAGGAGGCCTTGCCTGTTGAAGGGGGGAGAGCAGCCCAGGGCCGGGCCCACTCACCACACATAGAGGTAGGACTCCACGCAGACCTCCTTGTAGACAAACTCGAAGCAAGGCACCTGGATGATGTTGAAAAAGGCTTGTCCCACCACGCGGGAAGCAGCTGTGTTCACGGCACTCAAGCAGTCTTTCAGCCTGAAAGAGGCGGGAGGTTCTTGTTCTAAACCAGTGTTTCTCACCCCTTGGCCCCTCTCTCATTTATGGAGGGGATATACTCTCAACTCCCCTATTCCACCC